CAGTCTGGACTCTGCGGATAAAACACCGCTACAACGTAGCACTTTCACTTTCATTTGCTGGGAGAAAGCCACTGTGGGGCAAATGCCCAGATATGTTTTCCATGTCCTAAGCTAGCAAACAAAGTCTGGCACACCAATCGGAAACGGGGGGAAAATGTGAAAATAGCTGAGGACAAATGTTGTCTTTCAGCGGTGGAATCTGCTGCATCATTTATCTGTCTCTGCCGAGGGTAGGATAGGAAGAGTTGAGGAGTTTCCAGGGGGGGTGGGGGTGGAGGAATTGACGCCTTGAAATTCCAGCCGGGAGTTAACGCCAAGTCAATTTCCGATGGCCAGAACCAGAGAAGGGAATTGGACCGGAGGGAAGGGGGTGGGGAGGGGGACCTTTCTGAAAACGGGCGCTTAAGTTTCAAGCTTCTGCTAACATTATTGCTCATTTGATTTTTTTTTTTTTTTTCTTCCTACACCGGAGGTAGTAGGTGTAATTCTTCTGGTGAATACATGAATAGTTGGCTAAAAGAAGACATGAATCAGACTCAGAACGTCCAAGAATAGTTATTTCCATTCTTTTTTGAGGGTTGAAAGGGGAAAGCATCTGTCCACAGTCAATAGTCCTCATCTTGACCTTAAATCAACAGTATTTGGCTCAATGCCATTTAAAACGTAGGAATAAGTCCTGTGGTTGGCATTCACAGTTTCAAATGAAGATGATTCATATGGAAATATAGATATTTGCATTAACATACAAGAGGTAGCTGATCTTCTAGCAATAACTGTAAACACCAGAAATAAGAAGAATGGGCACAGAGATGTTTTTGTGGATCAAACCATCCTTTAAATTATTGTGAACACTGTCCTTAATTTTTCAAACACTGGTGGTGGATAAACACAGCCAGCACAGAAAACTGAAGTTAAGGTGTATTAATCAGCTAAAAAATCTTTGCTTTCAAGTAAGACTAACTGCTCTAGAAAGGAGCTTATGCAGTGAGAAGTGGACTTCGGCTAATTACTTATTCAAAGAGTGCCATCCTGTGTCTAAACAGAGTAATGAAAAATTTCCAAAAGATTCCTTTTCTCCTGGAAGTGACTGTGAATTTAAAAAACAGTGAGTGCAGGGTGGAGGGGGTCAATGGAGAAAAAAAGGGGACATCTGTAATACTTTCAACAATAAAGTTAAAATTTAAAAAACAGCATGAGTAAGGGTGAAAAATTATAAGCATGAGAAATGGATATGTGTGTATGCGTGTTTGCGTTTTAATTGCATTACAGAGAATTCAAACACATACAAAAGTAGAAAAGTCCAATGTATCCATCATCCAGTTTCAACAAGTGTTAACACTTGACCAATTTTTCCCATTACTTCCTCCACCGTACTAGATTATTTTGAAACCAATCCCAGTTAACAGTTCATTGCACCCACTAAATATTTATCTATATTTCTAAAATATAAGGACCACTAAACAAGTTTTGAGGCATGCACACACAAAAATAAAATATAAGGATTTTAAAAATAAATAACAATTATTACACCATTATTGCTCTTAAAACAATAATTCCTTAATTTCATCAGATATCAGATTTTCTCAGTTGCAAAAAGGGCTTAAGAAAACTCCTTTTATTAGAATCAGGATCCATATGTTGCATTAGGTTGATCTTTTGTCTATTTTTAAAACTTTTTATTGAAGTAGAATAAGTACACAGGAAAGTGCATAAATATAAAACTTGATGAAAGTGTTCTATTAATAAATTTTCACCAAGTGAACTTGCCCATGTAACCATGTAACTCTTTTAATCTATTTTAACCTATCAGTTCTCCCTTATTTCTTCTTTATCCTGCAGTATAAATGCTATATTAATAACTTGCCAACTTAATACTACATATAACACTTTTCATTAGCATGGAAATATTTTAGTGTAATACCAATGCATCATTTCTTAATTAAATCATATGAAACAAATTTTAATTTAACCCTGAATAAGTTTCAGTTGCAGTAGAAATTCTTTAAAATTATTTTAACGACCAATCCTTTGCTCTCTGAAAACTTTTCCCTACAGCTTTCCTTTGCTCTGGTTAATTAAGAAATGAAGACTACGGAGAGAGTAGAGTTGCTAACAAATCCCACACTTACACCTAAAAAAAGCTACGTGAGAAACCTTTTGAAGCCTAATAAGTCTAAGTGAACAGGGCCCTTCCAGGAAATCAAAGATGGAATAAATGGAAATCTGAGAGAGGAAACAATTTGTATGTACATATGTATGCACACATGTATGTCTGTATGCATGCATGTATGTATGCATGTAGTTCAGAAACTGAAGAACAGAGCAACGTCAGAAAAGTTTGAGAGTCAATAATGAAGACTGAGAAACTTATAAAGGTAAAAAAAATAGACTCCTAACTTTCAATTTTTAATACATAAGCATGTAAATTTAACTTAATTTTTTAGGTAAAAACCAAGGCATTTCTTAAAATTAGACTATTTGTATTTTAAGAAAAAGAGATGAAGAATTCTGATTTTATGCTTACTTGGAATTATTAAATTGGAGCAGGTAACTATCTCTAAAGATGATAAATTTTGAATTCTACATCCAGACATTAAAACCAGACTTAAGCCCTGGCTGAGGAGCTCAGTTAGTTAGAGCATCATCTCAATATGTCAAGGTTATGGGTTTGATCCCTGGTCAGGGCACATATAAGAATCAACCAATGAATGCACAAGTAAGTGGAACAACAAATCTATGTTTCTCTCTAAAATCAATTTTTAAAAACTAAAATTAAAAAAACAAATTTAACACATTAAAACCAAAATCCATACACTTTCTACACATACGTTTTATTATTTTATTGAATTTGATACAGTGAAAATAAATATTTTTAATCTTTTGAAAGATTATTGTAGGATTTTTTAAATACGTGGCAAAAGCTTAAAGCACAGAGAAAAAGATTGATAAGTTTAACTTAAATAAAAATTTTAAAGCCATTAAAAAGTAAAATATAAGCTAGAGATTAGGAGAATTTGCAACACATGTAAATGAAATATAATAATTACCTAGAATATTGAAAGAACTCTCACAAATCTATAAGAATGCCAACATAAGATACATACCAACTTACCTATAAAGAATTTTTATGAGTTTGCTTGAGCCAAACTGATGACAATTGCCAGGAAGCAAGATCTCAACGAATTGAGAAAATGCTCCGGAGAATGGGAGTTTTGCAGCTTATTTTATACATTAGAATGACAGGAGATGTTAGGAGGGTCACATGAAATCCATTGGTGGTAGATTAGGGAGGAGGGAGAAAGCAAAGCGTGGAAATCTCTGGGATTGGATAAAAGGCAAAATGGAAGGACACGTACTTCTTTTACATTGGTGGTGGCAGGGGAGTTAGCAACTAATCTTTCCAGCACATGGAGACGGTATGCGTGGACGGAGATAACAATGAGAGATTTTGTGGTCCTGTGCGGGTATGGAGAAGAAGATTACTCTGACATTTCAAAAGCATGTTATCTTAGATGCAAAAAGACCACTGACAAGTTCACTGACGGTAAAGATTGACCTTTGTCAAGGAAGCTACAGGCCTAGGATATGACTACCCGCCATGTCTGGCTTTTAGTTAGGAATTTGCATGTTCAGACCATCTTACGTGGTTACTTTTGGTCTCTGAGTTTGTAAGGCCTGAACTTGTCAGTTTTAGTATGTGGCCCCTATTTCACCCACAAGAGATGGGCCAAAAAATTTAAAAATAGGAAAATAGCATGAATAGAAAAGTCACAAGAGAAAAAAAGCTAATGACCAGTAAGTGCATAAGGAAGTGTTCAATCTTGCCATCAATCATTGAAATGGAAATGCTTCTCTTTCATCAGAGTGGTAAAACTGAAAATTTGATAATATCAAGTGTTTGGGAGGATAGAGCACACTGAACATTTGACATACTGTTGATGGAAGTAGAAATTAAGTGCAAACAGCATGGAAAGCAATTTGCGATATCTAATAAAGAGAAAGATGTGCTAGTCTTTGACCTGGCTATCCCATTTTTAAGTATATAACCTTAAGAAATTCTTGCACATGGGAATCCCCATTAATAATTATAACAACACAATTTGTAGTAGCGAATAACTGGAAACAACCTAAATGATTATCAATAGGGAAATAAATAAATTGTAATCTATTCCTACAATGGAATTTTATATGACAGTTAAATGATGGACTATATACAGGTGTTATGGTGGATAAATTACATAACATTGAGTTGAAATGCTACCATAGGACACATCAGGACTCATATTGGGATAGGATGTGTATAATACACCATTTACATAAAATTTTAATAGTAACGCCAAATATATATCTCAAACTTACAAAAGTGTGCACAGGAAGAACACAAAATCTTAACGATCATGGTTACCTGGGGGAGAAAGAGAAACAAATGGGGTTAAGGAGGAGCACGAAGTGGGCATCAACTAAATCTGTAAAATTTTGTTTGAAGAACAGAACAGCTGAATTATTATTTTTAAAGGTTTAACATCTGCTCATTCACGGTATTTAGTGTACATGGTATCGACTTAAGAAGTGTCCAAACCTGTAAAGAATTTTTATAAGAGCTTATTTGAGCCAAAACTGATGCCAATTACCGGGAAGCAAGATCTCCAATGCTCCAGAGAATAACAGTTTTACAGTTTAATTTTATACGTTTGAAATTAAGGAGGGAAATAAGGAAGATTCCATGAAGGTGAGAGAAAGCAAAGATTAGTTCACATGATTATATGTTCTTCTGAGTGTGGTTTCTGAAGGAACTGCAGAGAGGCATTTCAAAACCTGTGTCAACCTAGCAGTATAGAAACAATGGACAGGGCTTGCTTAAGGCAAAGATAAACCTTTTACCGAAACGGCTGTGGCCTGGGGCATGACTACTCCAGACCTGCCCAGTTAGGAATTTATGATCACACCACCCTGTGAGTTTACTTTCCATAGAACCCCTTTTTTGTCCTCGGTGGGTATTGATTGTTTTAATCTCTGTATAGTTGGAAGGATATACAACTTTACAAAAAGGAAAAAAAATAAAGCTTATTGTGATTTGTTATTATAACTTATCTGGAAATTCCAGAAAGACTTTAATACTTTAAATTTGCAGTTATCAATATAATGATATACTATGGATGAGCAAAGCTAACTGAAGTTCATATATGAGTTATCGTATTTCAGTCTTTTATTTACCACAGGGGGTGGCAAAAAATAGTTTCATTTTAACCTCTCTTTCCTTATCTACTTTCTTTTTAGAGTATGAGATCAACAGCAGGAAGGGGGAAAAAGGTGAGAAGAAAAAGAGTGGGAATAATCGGTGGTTTATAACTGTACTATAAAAATATCTCACATCCGAAAAGAAGGGAGAGAAAATGAAGTAGAAACTGATCTAACAGCAAAAACCCTGACACATTCCTAACTTGTGCAAAGGGCCCCGGCCAGCGTGGCTCAGTGGTTGATATCAGCCCATGAACCAGGAGATCGAGGTTTGATTCCCCATCAGAGCACATGCCCGGGTTAGGGGCTCGATCCCCAGGGGGGGCCATGCAGGAGGCAGTCGATTGATGTTTCTCTCTCATTGATGTTTCTCTCTCTCTATCCCTCTCCCCTTCTCTCTCTCTAAAAGAAAAAAAAATCAATAAAACATATTTATAGCTCGGTTGATGTAGAGTGGTGTCCCCATACACCAAGGTTGCGTTAAGTTCCTGGTCAGGGCACATATAAGAATCAACCACTAAATGCATAAATAAGTGGAACAACAAATTGATGTTTCTCTCTCTCTGTCTCTTTAAAATCAATCAATAAAAAATAAAACAATTTTAAATGCCCAGAGGTCAGTTCTGAGATCCATGGTATTCTCTGTCAACTGATTCTTCCTTGATTAATGTACTGTTTTCATGGCTTTGAAGAACGTGAATATGCCAGTGACTCCTATATCTAAATGTCTGCTTGAGTGTATACCATATGCAACAAACACTTCATGTGACCTAAACAGAATTCAACCTGTTTGCCTTTTCCATCTGGTAAATGCAATCACAATTCATAAAGTTCCTAGCCACTGTGCCTTCTTCAGTTCACTTTTCAGTTTTCTTAACATGCATTTTACATATAATGAACAAAGTTTTTAGCTGTATATAGCAGGAGAAAAAAGTGTGTCTATTCCATTTTTAGTTGGAAACTAGTTGCTATGGTCTGAATGTTTGCCCACCCCCAATTCTTATCTTGAATTCCTAATGTTCAATGTAATGCGTATTAGGACGTGGGGCTTTAGAAAGGTGCTTAGGTTATTAGGTGGAACCCTCATAAATTGCATCAGTGTTCTTATAAAAGAGACCCTACAAAGATCCCTCAGCCTGTGCACCTTGGAGGGCATAGTGAGAAGGCACCAGGCATGAACCAGGACCAAGGCCCTCACCTGACCATGCTGGTACCCTGATCTCGGACTTCTAGCCTCCAGAACTGTGAGAAATAAATTTCTGTTGTTTATATGTTACCTAGTTTGTATTATTTTGTTATAGAAGCCCAAACAGGCTAAAAAACTCTCTTTTATTTTTGCATTTTCAAGAAATTTATTTTTTATTGTTGTGTCTCTAAAGTCATCTTATCAATATAATTTTTAATTAGATGTATGTCGTCTCTTTATTGATTTTGGGGCAGTCTATATATATTTCATATTTGAGTTATTTGTTAAAAATAGATATTGTAAATACTTTCTCCAATTCTATAGGTTGCCTTCTAACTCTCTCTAAATGTGTTTTCCTTTTTTTATAAACAGAAATTATTTTTTATTTTTTAAATATATCTTTATTGATTTCAGACAGAGGGAGAGAGAGGGAGAGAGAGAAGTAGAAACATCAATGATGAGAGAGTCATTGATCGGCTGCAGCCCGCAACCTGGACATGTGCCCTGACTGGGAATCGAACCCCGATCTCCTGGATCCTAGGTCGATGCTCAACCGCTGAGCCACGCCCGGCTGGGCAAAGAGAAATTCTTTTTTTAAGCCATTTTTCTCCTTTATGTTTAGGGAACTCTGTAGTCTCTTAAAGATATTTTTGCTTACTTTTTATAATTTTTTTCCTTACAAAAAAAGCAACAAAAAACCAAGCAAAACCCATTTGTTTCTTTATAATGTTTAACTGTCCTAGAGCAAAAACAGTCCTTTTCCCTGTTGCCATTACACAGTAAGAACGCACATCATGCTCCACAGTCAAAACAAACACCTTATATCCTAAGATAAGCAAAATATGAGATGGGAAATCCTATCTCATCTCCAAAATACCAGAAGTACTTCCCATAAGTGAGCTTCCTACCAAATATGGATCCCTTATTTCTGCAATACTGATGCCAAAAGTTACATCACAACTTATATGTGCATCTGATAATGATGTGGGAAAATTGCTATTTTCCCCACTCTGAACAGCCTAATCCAAAGTTGGTAACCTTGTAGAGTTTTTCCTTTAAACACAGGTTGTATTTTTTATTCAAATAGCCAGATATTCTAAAATATGTTATTCTTTCAATATCTTTTCCAGAAACACTTTGCTTTCAATTCATTAATTCAAACTTTGACTCTATTCAGCCAAGAGTTTATCCCACTTGTAGAATTTGTATTTAAATTATTATATTTAATCAGATATAGGATTTGTAATTAATTCCTTTTCATAACCAAATATCGTTTCATTTGTTACTGGTTTTTGTTATACTGTATATCAAGTTATACTGTATATCAAGTTATACTGTATATCATCCCGATATACTAAGGTTTCAAGTTCGATCCTCGATCAGGACACAAGAATTAACCAATGAATGCATAAACAAGTGGAACAACAAATTGATGTTTCTCTCTCGCCCTCTCTCTCCCCCTTCCTCTCTCTCTAAGATCAATACATAAAAATTTAAAAAATATATAATCAGTAGAAATTGCAAGCATAAAGAATACCTATTTTTAATGTTTTGATTAGAAAACTTCAGTTATTATTTTTAATCAGTTACTAGTAATTATCAGAAAATAAGTTAGGGTAAGATATGGTATAGAATTGAAAATATAGTTCTTGGTCAAAGCAACAAAGAAGTAAAGTAAGAGTTAACTAAAGGAAAATACAGGAGACAGAAATGTTAATAGAGATGCACAACCATATAAAACACAGGATAAGACTAAACAAGGCCCTATTCAAATGGGTTAAATTTTCAACCAAAGAGAGATTTAAATTCTTCCAGATCAATCCATGTACACACATTAACCAATAACAAAATTAAATATGTTTTGTGGCAAGCTAAAACAAATATTTGTTTTTAGATTAGGCTAACATCACCATCTGGTATGGGAAAGCTAGAATATGGTGTTACTTTCAGGTATTTTCCATGATCCTATTTAAGAACTGGTAAAATAAAAACAAATTCTAAGTCTTAACAGATTTCAGTGATTTCCTTAAATCCATGACAAGTGAAAATACATATAGAGCCTCAGAACTTGAAACATTTTCTCCAACATACCCAAAACCACAAAAAGCTTCAAGGGTTGTAAGCTTAGATGGAGTACAGATCAAGACTACTTCTACTACAATTTACTGTGTTTATGATTGAACTCAAAAGCTGGCAAACAATCTCGCTAAGAAGCCTGGGTTCATGAATTAAAGTGGGATGTAATCATAGTTTTCTTTAGCGCTTTATACAAGATATTGTAGTAAAATGATCCTAATCTGGAGATTTATCAGTAAAATATGAAATGAAGACTTACCAGATAAATCAAGTTGTTTATTGCCTTTCTCTGTTTCTTTCTGTAATTTGCACACAGAGAGGTCCATGGACAACCAGCACTACCTGCTCTGTGGAGTTATTGTGAGGCTTACACTGGCAGAACCATTTTTTCCTTCCACAGTAACTTTAAGGAATAAAGCGTTGCTCATTCCTTTGACGCCCAACTGGAGTATTCTAGGAAGGTATATGTTATCTTCCCGTAAAAGAACTTACACTCACGAAAATATAACAGCATTTGTATTTTCTATAAAAGAGACATAGTATACTTGGATTACTTGCTTACTTTTAAAAAGGTGAAGTATTTAAGGTTATCAAGAAACTTAGATAACTACCAGTAGAAAGCATTTTTAAATGTAAAAGTACACGTTAAGTCCTCTTAGAAAACTAATGATAATGTAACTGTGTAGAAACTTCATTTCTTTTATAGGACCTTTCCCTCCTTTCCTTTTTGATTTAAACATCCAGCACCCAGACTCATCTACCTGCTTCTCCCTGGCACATCCACACCCTTAATCATTGAGCCGCAGGACAGTGAGGTTCCGATCAGTATCAAATAATCTTATAAATAAAGCCTAGGGTCTGTTGGCCACAGAGATAGTTTCTGTCAAACTAGAGATAACATCTAGGCCTCAGTTGTGTTTTAGTTCCAGGCCTGGAAAAGCGGCAAACTCAGATAATGTCATAGCTGACATGAGGACCAGATGCAATGATCAACTACCCCGTACCCTAGGACCAACCAATCATTAGAGACCACCACCCTAACTCCCTTAGTCACCATGATTAATATTTTCCCCCTCTACAACCCATCCCCTGGAAGCCATCAGGGAGCCAGGTCTTTGAGCATTAGCTCACCTGTGACTGGGCATGGGCAACTTCCTCAAGTAATAAACCCTTACTTTCTTTGCTGCAAGCTCCTGTGCAAGTCTATTGTTTTTTTTTAAATTTATCTTTATTGTTGAGAGTATTATAGATGTCTCCTATTATTTTTTCCCCACTGTCCCTGTCCATCTAGTTCCCACCCCACCCTAGGCCTTCACTACACTATTGTCTGTGTCCATGGGTTATGCATATCTGTATATAAGTTCTTTGGTTAATCTCTTCCTGACCCCTTTCCCTCTGAGGTCCGCCAGTCTGTGCCACGCTTCCATGTCTCTGGATTTATTTTGTTCATTGGATTCCACATGTAAGAGAGATCATGTGATACTTGTCTTTCTCTGACTGGCTTATTTTGCTTAGCATAATAATCTCCAGTTCCCTCCACACTGTGCCAAAGGGTAAAAGATCCTTCTTTTTTACAGCTGCGTGGTGTTCCATGGTGTAAATGCCCCACAGCTTTTCTATCCACTCATCTACTGATGGGCACTTGGGCTATTTCCAGATCTTAGCTATATTAAGTTGCGCCGCTATGAACATAGGGGTGCATATATTCTTTCTGATGAATGTTTCAGGATTCTTAGGATACATTCCTAGGAGTGTAATCACTGGGTCATAAGGCGGGTCCATTTTTAATTTTTTGAGGAACCTCCATACTGTTTTCCATAGTGGCTGCACCCGTCTGCATTCCCACCAGCAGTGTACTGGGTTCCCCTTTCTCCACACCCTCGCCAGCACCTGTTTGTTTGTTGATTTATTGATGGTAGTCAATCTGGCAGGTGTGAGGTGATACCTCATTGCCATTTTAATTTGCATCTCTCTGATGCTCAGCGACTTTGAGCTCTTTTTCATGTCTCTTGGCCGTCTGTATGTCCTCCTGCACATGCCTTATTGGGCTTTGATGTGCACGCAAATGGACACCTTTAGTCCTGTAATAATTTTGATGGCCAACGTGGGGCTCCCTCTTGCCTGTGGATTTGTGGACCCAGAGCTTGCCACCAGGCCCCCATCTAGTAGCTGCAGATCTGTTGTCTTGTAGGCACAGGCTGGACAGCAGTCCACACCTGTGTCCCCAACCTACAATGGTTTTGTTTGCAGCATAAGAAACAAGATACTGAAAATGACTAGATTTGAAATTTGCTCTGGTTTGGAGATTGAAGACTTCTTATGGTAAGGTTTCTGGGAGACCACCTCAGGAAAACCACCCTCTTCTTGGAGAAACCCAAATGGGAACAGGGAAGGAAGTGCTTCCTGAGAAATCTGTTTCTCTGATCTGGCCTCCTCCCCGAAGGGGGTAAAATCAGCAGGAACCAAGACAGAGAAGCCTTGTTTTTTCAGTCTGCTTGGGCTGTATTCTTCACCTACTGAGTCTATTTCATCTTGTGGAAAAGGCCAACTCTGACCGGGTTCCAGCAAACCTAGGAGTGGGCAGCGGAAGCTCGTCCAGGCAGCTCTGCCTCGAGGCAGGTGTTTCTCTCATACTGACCGATCTGAGCGGACCTCACATTCAAGACATAGGGGGAAGTTCGACCACTCAGCCCCTCCTGCTGTCTTGTCTGTTGTGTCTAACTTATTGCCTACCAAATTTTAGAAAGATATATGGGTTACTGAATTGTTAGGTCTTGTAACTACTTGTTCCCTGTTTGTTTTGTTGTGTGAACTGCCTAATCCTAGGACTGCTTTAAGATTGCTCGAGCTGAAAATAATTACTTTGATTGATAAAGACCTTAGTAACATTGGTAATCCCATCTCTGTACCCCAGTGTAGCTCTCTGGGCTGTACCTTACAGAACTGGAGTACATTTAGTTATGAATCTATGAAAGAAAAAATTGGGCTAAATAAACAGACCAGGGTTAAAACAAAGGCTTTAGCACAACACTACGAAAGACTGAATGGGCCCAAAATGACCCTCTGTTGACCCCCTAAGATTAAAGGGCCCCAAACAAGTCTGCTCTATTTACCCCAGTGTAGAGCAATTTAAAAGACTAGAAGGAAGAGATTACAATGAAAAACCTGACCAGCAATCACTTGGGGCAATAGTCAGGCTGGTAAAATCAATTTAAAGATTGATAACAGGGCCAGGGTGCTTTAGCTGCGCCCCTTGCTGGGGATCCAAAGCCTCTTTACTCAAGAGTGGGTAAAATGGTCAGGGGATAGAAGAAATTTCCACGACTCCTTGAGATGGGAATTCCTGAAATGTGGTACAACCCAGTAGACTCAGACTACAAGTAGATTAAGAAATATGAAAATGTAAGGGTTGATTAGATTAGGAAAATTGGAACATTTAAACAGACTGTGTTAGAGTTATGTCAACTTCAACTGATTGCATCTTTTACCTGGTTGTATTGTAAAGAGACAGTGTCTCACTGGGGAACTGTGACATGAAGGCTGTCAACTCTGTCTTTTGGCTATCAGAGGAAAAGACTCTAGAAGGGCTCTGCACCCTCTTGGGTCCATGGAACTGTTTAATGATGCCAGAAATGGTTACTGTTTGTCCCAGCTGAAATCTGAAAAGATATTTGAGAGGATTTAAAGACTTGTTTTTTAACAGAAATTTGGCCATTTTACAAACTAATGTCAGAGCCTGATAGGAATATTTTGAGTCCCCTATCTTTTATCTTACTTTATAAAATAAAATAAAAACATATGCCCAAGAGGGAAAGCAAATAAGTGATTATGTTTAACAGGTAGGTTAAACAGGTAGGTCAACCTATGATATCACTTAAGTTTCAACCCAAATCTGAGAGCAGCTGTTGATATCTTACAAATCTTTGTAAAACCAGAAATGCAGCTCTAGAAGCAGTTCAACCCCACTTATTATCATTCTCAATTCCTAAGACAAAAAGGAAGAAAGGAAGGG